TTGAAAGTACAGTTCATATCATAATATTTGCAGAGTAGAATACATTTCTGTTTGTGTTCAATTTTTCTTGGTACATATACAATGATTTTCTTTTGCATAAAAATCCGCAGTCTAGTCATTACACACATAGTGGATCACTGTTTCTGATAAATGACATGTGATTTCATTAAAACTGACGTATGATATAGTCCACGTAAAATTAGAGACGTGATTTAAGTTATTACTAGACTGTGGACTTTTATTCAAAATAAAATCTTTGGCAAAGTACCTACAAAAATTGAACCTAAATAGGAATGAATTTTAATCTGCAAATATTATAATACGAACGTTACTTTCAATATTTTTTTATATTATTGCATACTGTGTACATTCTATAGTTTCTTGCGGATTCAAATTTCCTAGAAATGCATAGTAATCTGCAGTCTAGTCACCACTTGTGTGATTTTTAATTTATTTGTACTGATTTGCATTACCGATACATATGGTATTCCAACTTGCTGTACAAAAGAGAGATTGATTATCCTTTAAAAAAGATAAGGTGACTTGTAATGAAAATAAATCTGAATAGATTCCGTGAATTCGGCGAGGTTACAAAAATTATATGCTAGGACAACTAGTGGTTTAGTATTACGTTAAGAAAATGTTCAAGTAATAAAGTGGAATTATTCGTTACCCATTAGGTTTAGGGCTAATAAAGGTCAACGCTTTTTTATTCAGAATTCAATACTCTATCACATTTTTGTATGAAAAGTATAGTATTCTATTTAAAAAAAACTAAGTTGTCCAAATCTCCGAAACGCTTCTACCTGTAAAAAAATGAATGCACTACATAATGTACCCTGTTAAACCATGTAACTTTTGGATACAACATTTTTTCATGCAACGCATATTTTGTAAGTTATGAAGGTGGGCCATTGTATATTCGCTGGATGTCCAGAATCGCAAAGGTAGTCCACGAAATCCGTCGACACCCCGTATGGCGATTTAGTGAACTCCAGGGGTCAACGGTACTGGAATCGAGCCATGGGTTTCTGGCAACAGAGGAACAATAAATGCCACTCATATGTATTTCGAGGAAACGCGTTACCAGTGACCCTACCCTATGTACCATCGTTAAAAACAAGGTCGATTTCGTGGGAATCGTAAACGCGAGATCACAAAGCGCCCCTCTCTTCCGGTTGCTCGTAAACCAACTATTACTCTATTTTCGTGTCGGCTCGTGTTTCGAAACGATTCCATCGATCTGTTTGACCGGTTCGTCGATAAAATCAGAGATGGATAAAATTGTATTCGAACGAATATGACGATTAAAACTGAAATACAGAGACATGTTTTACATTAGGAGAAAAATGTAACAAGGCGCGTCGATACCAGACTTCGATTGTTACCATTGCTTACAAAACCAAACTTAACACTTCATCCATTGGTAGCCTATTCATAGGATTCTTAATTTCAGTGTTTCCTTAGCCCACTTTATTAAATGTGGCTATCTACTTACAGTGCTCCATTTGAGGAAACAAATAAGACACTGAATTTACCTTGTGGCAAAGTTGATGGCTATATTAATATAAGAAGTTCTCTTTTACTTCGAGCTAGCCATCAATTGGTGGCTACACCTTATTAAATCAATCATAGATATTTTTCTTTTGGAGAAAATCAAAATAAGAAATTGACCAACAACAGGCTACTACTCGACATGGCTCGAAAGTCTTAAATCTAAGATAATAAATACATGTTAAGCACAACCAAAAGATAAGTGCACTCATATAAAACGAAATGACGATATTGTTATAATATATTAATTGTAGAATATATATTTAACATACGTTATATATATTTTTTTTTAATATTTTTCATATTACTGTACCCCATAAATGCATAAAATCCGCAGTTTACTGATTAAGTATTCGTTAGAATGTCTTTTATTTGTTTTCTGAATGTTTATATACCCTATGTAAATGTATATGTATTGTTGATGTGCCCAATATTGTGCATATTACTAATAAACTCGTAGAGAGGCTTCGTAACATAAATAAAAAAGTATGTTCTCTTCTAAGATACAGATTCTTTCTAAACAAACCAGTAGTTAACTTGTTAACATCTAGCTGATTGGTTATTTCAAGCCAAAACTATCTTACGCAACTGGCTACTTTTTCGCAATTGAATATTAAATTGAAAACATCTAAACGATCTTCAACACTTACGTATATACGGCCCACTTAAATATATCCTTTGTTTTTTGTAATATGAAAATTGTTTATAGTATGATTTCAAACATTTTGGAGGAGGAATAATTGAACTTAATTTTATAAACGGAACATTAAATGGAGAAAGATACGAAACCATTAAGTGTTCGAGTGATTATGGGGTACCAACACGATGGCCAGCACATTATTCACGAGCAGCTATGTACTCAAGTACCGAATACGAAATTACCAAATCGTTGGATTGGACGTAATGGCCCACAATTTGGCCAGCACCTTTAACAGATCTAACCCCCTTATATTTTTTTTTCATTTGGGTAAATTAAAATAAAAAGTTGACCAGCAACAACCTACCTTGGAGTTGTAGGTTGTAAGAAGTATGATAAATCAGAATCAGCGTTCAGAACGCCGGTATAAAAGCCTGTATCATTTATCCACATTCACTTCCACACATCCACAGATGCACCTACTCGCAAGCTCTATGATATCTGTGGTCAACAGATGAAGTTTTAAAACTTAATATTAGGGTGACATATGTACGATGATGAACAGGATTTGCCAAATATGAGATTGGATTAAAAATGTTTTATTATTATTTAACTGCATTAATTATTGGAAAAATAATAATAAGATGATATTGATTAGGATGCAGGAATTGATCATGACAAAATACACAGAAAATCACAATGACTCTGACTCTGAGGTTCTGACACTCTAAGACATTGAGACGTTGAGATTCTGAGACACTGAGACGTTGAGACGTTGAGACGTTGAGACTCTGAGACGTTGAGACGTTGAGACTCTGAGACGTTGAGACGTTGAGACGTTGAGACGTTGAGACTCTGAGACGTTGAGACTCTGAGACGTTGAGACGTTGAGACTCTGGGACTCTGGGACTCTGGGACTCTGGGACTCTGGGACTCTGGG